GTGAAAGTGGTAATTAATTACGTTAATTACGAATTACGTATTTACGGTAATTAGCTAATTACCATATCATGTATAGTTATGATATATATGAAGCCACATATTAATTTTTATTATTGAGGACTTTTTAATGGTAACAAAAATTACCCCTAAATTTTTATATGTAGACCAATAAAAATTTAATTTTTCAAAACAATTATTGTGTAACAATATTTGGCTTTATTCTAATAAAAAAACAATACATTGCATGTAAAAAGTTTATATGCTGAATTTAAAGAAGTTAAATTCTTTATTTCCTTGATATTAATTGAGGCTTTTATATTCACCTTATTCAATTATGAATATTATGAATTAAAATTTAGTATTAAAAAATGATCTGCAAATAATTAAAACAAAATAAAATTCAAAGTCTTATAACTTTTAAACCATTAAATATATTGAAGTAAAATTATGTTTATTGAATTATTTTCATCATGTTCTTTAAAAAAATGAAGCCCTTTTTCCTAAAACTTTAAATGGAATTGAAATTTTCATTTTTTTTAATATTAATTAGGTTTTTGTAATCAGTTTCTACCTTAATTTATATGAAATTAAAAAAAAGCTCTTCATTTTTTTATTGTCCTATGGTTCAAATATATATATCCTTAATTTGAAATGTGTAACATATTTTCTTCAGAAGTTATAAGAGTGTGAGTTTTACATTTTTTTCACCATTGAAAAATTTGAAAAATGATTGCCATTAAAAAATCCTTAATAATGAAAATTAATATATGGCTTCATATTAGAGATGCGATCCATGGATGGTCAATCTGGATATCCGCAAAACAATCCAGATGGACGGATGGCTTTTTTAAAGTGCTAACGGATTGCGGATTGAAATTTTAGAAATTATAGGATATCCAGATGATCCGTGTAAATAAAATATCATGTGATAGTGAATAAAAAAAATTTTTTTATGTACTAGTACAAATAATAAAAAAATAAAATTTAAAATATATAATACTTTTCATCATTCATTTTTTGATGCTGTTGCTTCTTTACTAGTTTGTAAGATTACTTACAATGAATAATGATAATAACGAATATAATTACAATGGCAATGATA